GAGCATTTCTTCGACCTTTTCCATCAGCGACTTTGGCCATGGTCGACTTTTCTCGAAGTTGTTCCTGTCTACGACGATCTTTCCATTCTTGATTAACTTCTCTTTTTGTGATAGTTCGTTATTTCGCTCGGTGTTTCTTGCGATTTCCCCGATGTCATCACTTCGATGCCGCTTCGGTTGTTCGCTGTCGCTTCTTCGCTTCGTGTCGAAAACACTTCGCGCTCTTTGCGATATCTGATGAAATACTGAGACCGCATCGCGTTTGTGATCTCTGTGAGGGATTTTTTGCCGGTGAAACTTTCTTTCCATCGTCAAAAGAGAGGGGTTGCTTGCAAAGCCCTTTATCACGGTGTATACTCAAATCGATTGAATATTTTTTTTGCTAGCGCGCATATCCAGAAAAATCAACTGAAAAACACCGGAAATGACGCATTCGATTTTCTCGGAAAGCGAGTGTTTTCGGAGAAAAATAATGACGCAATCAAATCGTTTTAAACTGACGTCATTTTTCTAAGAAAACGAAGTCGCCATCGGCAAAGACAGAGGTCGTATGTTTGCCATCCAAAGAATGAAAGAAAAAGAAAGGTTTTTCTTTCTGTTTTGACTAATTTTAGTTAATGATGTGATTTTCTCCCCTCACAATCCAAACAATCAACTAATAAACACCGAAAATAATGCATTTGATTTTCTCGGAAAGCTGATGTTTTCGGAGAAAAATTATGACGCAATCAAATCGTTTTGAACTGGCGTCATTTTTCTAAGAAAACGAAGTCGCCATCGGCAAAGACAGAGGCCATATGTTTGCCATTCAATCAGTTTTCACTGATTTTAGTTAAACATGTAGAATTTGGAGCAAGATTATCCAAGCCCAGATGGTTTGTTTGCGAAAGGTATTTGCTTACCAGCCTTTGCACTATCAGCTAGAAGTTTCGATAAATTCCAAGAAAAGGAGGCCTTTTCCGGGATATTACCCGAGGGAATTCCCCGAAACATAATTCTAAGAGTATATTTAAAACTCCAAGAAACTTTTTTCTTTCCATTCTTCTTCAAATTCGTGGAAAACGCGGATGGTTTTTCTCAGAACACGAGATTGAATTCTTTTCACGGTTAACACAGCAATTCACCTGAACATCGAAATGATTTCCTCGGAGTTTTTGTTGGTGATTTGTTCATCTTTATGGATTGGAGTGAAACTTACTATATTTTTCAAGAAACGTTTCCGGTGGAGAGAACACTGTTTTGCCTGTTTAAGTTTGGATAGCGCGAATCTTATTCTCATAATCGCTGCGCAGTTTTTGTTGCCGAAAGTTTGGTTATTGCAGATGATAACAGCAGTGATAGCTATGGTCTTGGCTATCAAGGACATGTATTTGATGATGACTAATCGATGGGAATTTGTCAAGTCCTTGGTGCTTGGTGCCTACATAATTATATCCTGGGAAAGTGAACGCGGATCATATGTTTTGCCCTTATCTTCCGTGTCTTTTGCGCTAACTCAGTTCCTGCGATGGCCAAGGAGCCTGAAAGATTTCCTCAGTGAAGTGAGAATCATCTGTGGCCCTGCCTTTCCCATTTCCGTCTTCGCAACATGGTTGAAACGGAGTGAACCTTCTGGCTCGTCATTCTGGGTTCTTCTCGTTGGTGTACTCTGTTCCTCGGTAGCCGCCATCTTTTTTCGCCCCGACAACTCTGAAGTTTTGGTCTTGTTTCATCTGCCAGTCCCCAGCTCGAGAAACAGGAAAGTTTGTCATGCAATATTGATGTTTTTCAGTCTTCTTTGTTTGACCGTGCATATTTTATGGTATCAAACTTTTCCTTGCATTTACTGTAAACCTGTTTCTATCGTGGTGGTCATACTGTGCGTGTGTTTCTTTTTTGGTGCCACTGACACCGCGCACCGGGCGTATCGTTGGATCCGCCGTTTTTTTCCGGGAAACCGTGACCGTGATTGACAATAACGATAACTTTACAATTGATGGCTAAGCACTTCTGTAAAAACCTGGGGGATCAGTACCCGAATCTGTTAGGCCTACTCTGGGACCTCAAGTCGCCGTAATTTTAGGCGACTTGGGGCGATTTAAGTCAAATTTAGGCGACTTAAGGAAAAAAAGGTGACATTTAGGTGAATTATATTTTAGTGAATATGTTGCAGGTAATTTTTTATTTCAGTTAATTTTTGGTTTTCCCTGCTTTAAATTAATTAGCATACATAATCATACCCAGAAACAATGAAAAAATAAAAATTAACTGCAACAAAAATTAACTACAACATATGCAAAATTGAAATAATAATAATAAATCCCTACCTCTCTAGGGACACAATGTCATAGCATAAGTTAATTCAGTCTTGAAGACATCTACATTAGTCTTCCAAATTTTCAACAGTCTCAGCTACCTAATATTTTGAACATTAAATATCAAAGGTAGCTTGTGTTGCAGATGTATTCTAACCCTGGTTAGTACCATTTGCGAAGCAGCACTAACATCCTTGTTCTGGGTCCCAACGTACTCAATGAATTACCAGCATTTTGAGTTTCCCTTCAACATGTTTGGTAAATTGACAATGGCATTTTTAACAGTCCAGTCCTGGCAGGTACTCAAATCCTGATACACACACGGGGGAACCAGAACTAAGATTTTACCGCTGTTTTGCATTGCCCACGGACTGAACCCAGAGTTTAGTTCCATCTGTGGCACAGGCTAATATCAAGGGTGTTGGTTTATTATTACATTTGCAGAGACAAAATCTGAGTTAGAAGAAACCAAAATGTTAAATTCTCTCTTAGCCTTTAAATGCATTATTTTACAATATAAGGGACAAAAAATCAATGGTTCATGCATTTCTTTTTCCAAAAAATAAAACGCTAAAAGTACAGTATTTCAGTACATCTCTGTAAAATACTGTAAGCTGGTTTGTAGCAAAAACTTTATATTGAAGTGTCTTTTTTTTCATAATTTCACAACAAACATTTAAGTAATTAATTTAAAACATCAAAATCACTTATCGATATCGCACATTATGGAAATGACGATCCCCGTTAAAGCGTTGAACTGTAATTTCTACCTGCGATAGTCTTTTGTTGAACTGTTATCTACCTGTATTGTTTTGAAAGTTATAATGTTGTAAACGATGAATTCCGTTATAGCCAGTCGAGCCCTCTGAAATGTATGAGATAATGTTTAGTTAAGAATTCTTAATATCTTTAAATAATCCTTTAGAGTTGTGTTTTCGGCTTAAATATTCTTCCCTTGTAAAATATTTTTTGGTTATATGTTCCGGTTGCATTCTGGTTTTGTTCTTGGATTAAAACGATATCGTTGGACCTATTTATTTTATTAGTTCTGAGTGCTGCTGATGTCTCTGAAGATAATTCCCTGTAACGGAAGGCCTACTCTGGGACCTTAAGTCGCCTAAAGTCGCCTTCAGTCGCCTAAAATCGCCTTAAGTCGCCTAAAGTCGCCTTAGGTCACCATTAGTCGCTTCAAGTCACTTTAAATCATTAAAAATCAAATTCAAATTGTCTCGTAGTTATTACTTTTTTAGTTTTCTATTTCCAGAATGCATGATTTCTCATAAATTGTGTAATAACCCATGTTCAATAATATTAGCCACAGATCCCCCCCCCCCCCCCCCCACCACCACCACCAAAAAACTCTCACAGTCACTTAAGACCCATTAACGTCTTCTCCAGCCCTCTAATTTATACATTGAATTACTTTATGCAATTTAATACACATAATAATTAGTTGAAAGCAATACAAGAATAATCATTCCTGTATTGTTTATGTAAAAATGACACTTGTACAGGCATTTTAATAATTTCATCGGGGAGGTTTGTGTCGTATTTAAGAGTAAAAGTGTTGTTAAAAAGGCATTCAAAGGTTCAAGTTAATGTTCTAGCCAAATTATATTAAACGGCGTGCAAAGAGAGTAGACGGAGTAGTGTCCAGGCAACAACCCTGGGGTACTGGATTTTATTATTGAGCTAGTGACTGCATTTTTAACTTGCCTGGCTGGCAAGTAACGTTTTCTAGGGAATTCAGATTCAATGGGGATTGGGAGGCCTTTTCCGGGATATTACCGGAGGGAATTTCCCAAAACATAATTCTATGAGTATTTTTAAAACTCTAAGAAACTTTAAAATGAATCAGCATAATATATATATTTAGCCAAGCCTAAAAGCGGAGCTACAAAATTATTTTTTTCATTTATATCTAGTCTGCTTATCGTATGACCAATGGAACGAAAACAAGACTCATTTTGAGTATATTATGACTTATTTCGACTTATCTTATGTATCTTATCTCAATCTGTTGGAGAGTTATTAAGCTTTAATTTTTGAATTTCCCGCCATTTTGTTACTATTTTTAGAAACATAAGGACATTTCAAGATGCTATATCTCCTAAACCAATTTAGCTTTTCCAAAAATTTTTTCACATTTGTTTCTATCACGTATCGTTCTTTCAAAACTGTTTATTTTTGTTGCCATATCTTGAAATTTTAATTTTGCTGTCAATCTTGTGACGTCATTTTCCCGCCAAAAACCGTTAAATTCGAAAAACAAAAAACATAGGATATTTTGGAATACAGAGTTCTACCATCCTGCCAAGTTTGAGCTCAAACGAATAAAAAATGCAAAAGTAGTTACTACTTTGCAGCTTTTTGCATTTGTCCTGGCCCGGCGTGAAGACTTTCGGTCCGGTCTACTGGAAACCGAAGTCACCATGTCAATCAATCAATCAATCAATTTATTTACTTCAATATGTGGGATAGGGGTTGCCCCGATTATCCGAGCCATAGGCTCATTTATAAAACGAGTGAAAATAAAAATACTTAGTTAATAAAGATACAATACATTTGAATAAATAATAAAATTTATTCTATCAAAACCAGACGACGACTTAATAGTCTTGCAAGGAGTACAGTTCAATTTATGTCATTATTGTTTGCTGTGAGGACAACTACGTCGCTACTCATCATCCAAAGAAGTAACAACACTCACTTCCATCGGCCATAATTTGCCATCAGTATCGTCTTTACTATGAAAAGTTCTCCATTCTCCGTTGTCTACAATAAACAAACGCGACCGCGATTTCATGCATTAGCAATTTTTTTTACTTCGCGTTTCGGAGCTCTCTTTATGCCTTCGATTTATGAGAAACGGGACTATATAAGCGAATTTCTTTAGTGCCAATTCATTTTTTTGCTTTTTCTTCGTGATAATAGCCCAGCTTATGAGATTTCCCTTTAACAGGTCTAATTTACCTGAAGAAAACCTCTCAAAATACGAACACTGAATCTTGCGATTGAATTTGCTTCCCTAAATATTGCTATAACAGCGACATATTACTCACAGCTTCTCTATTTGGACGGACTCATTGAATTCAGAACGCACATTTTCTCATCGAAAATTGTTTACCACGAGCTTTCCGAATTCGACGCAAGTACGCGTCTGAATCAGCCGTCGCTCCAAAGTCACTCCAAAGTCGAACTCAATCGAGTTTGGTTCGCCACATGAGAGTGGAGCGCCGTTTGGACCGGGCCTTCAGGTCCCAGGGAAGGCCTTCTTTGCTTACCGGTTAGCTAGCGTTTTCAGCAGGTTCTTCACTCTTCTTTCCTTCTTTCACCGAGCATGAGCCGCAACAATGCTTTGGAAAAAGAAACGCGTAACAGCTTGCAATTATCCAAATTTCGCAGATAACCAGTTCTCAACACCAAGTACTGAAAAATGAAAACTGAGGCATCGCCGGTTAAATAAGCTCGCTTAAAGTTGTCTAACAGCTTTTTCTGTAACTTGAAGTTCACTTTCTTCTGCAATATTTACAGCCGTTGTGGTAATACCACACTGGAATATATTTCTTATTCCATTTCCCTGAACATTCCAAACACTGTCTTTTTGATCCAGGGCGACCAAGAAGATGGAGACACAAACGCCCGCATTCGCGACATCTGTGATGAGGCAAAGCCTTGCCTCCTCTTACATGCCCCCGGATTTCTGGTTTGACAAATTTGGGACACCACTCTACATTTGTAATGTCTTCCAAAGAAATGACATGATGCTCTTCGATTTTGAGCATTTCTTCGACCTTTTCCATCAGCGACTTTTGCCATGGTCGACTGTTCTCAAAGTTGTTCCTGTCTACGACGATCTTTCCATTCTTGATTAACTTCTCTTTTTGTGATAGTTCGTTATTTCGCTCGGTATTTCTTGCGATGTCCCCGATGTCATCACTTCGATGCCGCTACGGTTGTTCGCTGTCGCTTCTTCGCTTCGTGTCGAAAACATTTCGCGCTCTTTGCGATATCTGATGAAATAATGAGTCCGCATCGCGTTTGTAATCTTAGTGAAGGATTTTTTGCCGGTGAAACGTTCTTTCCATCGTCAAAAGAGAGGGGTTGGTTGCGAAGCCCTTCGTCACTGTGTGTACTCAAATCGATGGAATATTTTTTTTGCTAGCGCGCATCAACCTCGTCCCCAGGGTCTTCTCGCTTTCTAATATGGCGGCGGCAGGAGAGAAGACCCTGGAACACAGCGAACTACAACGATTGCTGATTGGTGCATTCCATTGTGCATTCAGACGTGCGCTCTCATTGGTTTATTCCTCCAAAACAAAGGTGGTTACCCTTTGAGGGCTTCGTAGAGGCTGAGAAGTGCTTTCTTCAGTGTTTGAGACCTAAAAGGTGGACAGAAGTCAGGTCTGATTGTTCGGAAAACTGTGACTGTACCGTTGGAAGGCAAAGACTCGAAGATAGTGATATCTGAAATGGTAATCGCTGGGAATATTATAAGGCGTAGAGGTATTTCTGTTACTCGTGCTATTCGTGCTATAGGTTTGTGTGTTCTAACTTACTAAAGATTTGTTTCTTTAATTCCCGATATGTGAAAGAATACTTGCATGGCTTCAGCTTATCAATAAATTTAGCTGTCCGTTTGTAAAGGTTTAGTATTGTTCTGCCTTTTGTTTTCTTTGAACAATAGCTGTATGAATAATATCATTAATGTATGGGGTTATACGGAAATCTTGCATAATCTGTGCTTTGTCTCAGTAGTTTTTTGTCTAGTGAAACATTTTTTTTTTTCATTTGATCGTAACATGCATGGGCCTAACCTGGCCTTCTTTTAATTTTTTCCACTGTGATTTTGAAGGGGGAGAGGAGCGAGAGAGGCAGATGTCGAAACAAAACTAAAAGTTGAAGCCAAACATAATGTCCCTTATATCCTTTGATATTTTAATCCTGACTTTTCATTTATTCAGTTTTTAGTGTCACAATAATGATAATTTATTATTATTTGCTCATTTCATTGGCAGTAAAATACAGCTAAATACGGAGGCATTGGGAAAATAAACTGTTTCCTTTTCTCAAAAATGAAAAACTTGCATATTAATGTTTTGAAGCTTGTGGGATTTCTTTCTAGTTGTAAAAATAAAATAATGAAAGCACATGATGATGTCTTTTATTTTATCAATTTGAAAACAGTGATTAGCCCATGAAAGGAAATCTGTCAGTCTTGGATTCTCAATTCCGTGCCATGGATACTGCATTCTGGATTCTTTGTCAGTGGAACTTGGTTTCTGGATTCCAATTATAAGTGGGATCTAGAGTTCTTGACCTTTATTCCAGATTCCAAGAGAAAAATTTCCCAGATTTCGGATTCCCTTACATGGGGTGACAGTGATCCTAAGATAAATCAGGGGCACCCAACGATATAGCTCATGTTACGAAAAATTGTATTGCGTGACTAGTGTGACTTTCTAGAAGCTTCGCGAGAGTTCATAAGTTGTTTATTTTAGGATCTTGTGTAAGCGTTTCTAAAAGCGGTATATTTTGTAATCTTTCTATAATTAGACTATTGGGAAAGTTCTAGAATCTTATTGTAAAAGCGTATAAGTAGGCGAGTCCGAGTTAAGTTTTAACTAGTTTTCACAAGCGAGGAGAGGAGTTCGACGCTAGTCGTGTCTAGTCAAGTGTGACGAAAGCAGTGTTTATTCAAGTTGGCGGAGGCCGTGTAAGTTTATCAAGTTAATTGAAGTTGGCGGAGGCCTTGTAAGTTTATCGAGTTACGTGCTGTTGTGGAGTTTTACTTCGTGGAAACTACGTTCATTTTTGGAATAAATCTTCTTGTTGCTGTTCCGACAACCCTGCGTTCAGTTTAGTCTGCGAGCTACTCGTCCTCTAAAAGATTACCTGCGTAACAGTTCAAAACCACTTAAACATAGAATTGTTAAAGCTATTTTAGTATTTAAACGGTAGATATAGGCATATTTTTATCCCCTAAAAATTTTTCATCTCTTCGGATTTCTTAGCTGAAAGTCTAGTTATCCGAAAATTATAGGGATCAAAACTTAACTTTTCGAAAATTTCAGCCAGAAAAAAAAGGCTCCCGAAAATTCTAGGTGACCTTTTACGGTAAAATCCGTTTAAAATAGGCAATTATACCATTTTTTACTTCAAAGGGTGCATATATCACTATCCACTGAATAAACAAGAGCGCAAGGGCCCTGCAGCGTCTTGATCATGGGATTTTTCATGTAGGGATGCCACGGCTTTTGAAGTGTTTTGTGCCAGAGTCCCCATAAGTATAGTGAGCTTTTATTTGCCTAGTCACGGCCAATGAGTTTTGGGAAACGTGGTCCCAAGTGAAATAGTGTCTGCATCATAATCATATCATCAGGAATAATCAGATTATTAACCCAACTATTAAACTGATAATTGATTATAGTAGATTATAATTTTGTGACCCCTGTGCGCCACTTTCAACACTGAAAATAATTTTGTAAGTGAACAAAACAAAAAACCTACCCTGCAAGCAGAGGCTTATCTGTCTTATAGTTAAACCAACTAAATATAATCATAATCATATAAACTACATTAAGAGCCCATCAAAAAGACAACACAGGTGTATGAATGTCCTTATTTGTCAGCAATGTTTTCGTGAATTTTCCACAACAAGACGCTACGGAGCGTACACTTCGGCGCCGTGATTGTGGAACTGATTAATTCCAAATGCGGAGGAATAGTAAGAAATGAAATATGGTAAGAGTAAGGCGTTAATTTGTGAAATTATGGGATTTGTCAGGATATTCTGAAAAAACAACATTCAAGAGGCCTACTTGCCAAAAACTAGCACTTCGGGACAGATTGTCTCTGAGATACTAGCCCAGTTATGCTCTGATGACTCCATACAAATCCTTCTAGATTTGACTTGGGTCTAAACGTTTAGCCCCAAGTCAAATACGAGGTTACTGGCAGTGAATAACAAGCCTAACAAAACAAACAGTGAAAAAATAATTCTCTGTTTTCCTTAGTCACATCAGGCTTCAAAAACAGCATAGCAGTCTCGTGTGCTGATTAAAGATATGTAAGGTATGGGTAAGGAGTCAATTATGTTGAGCATGGAATTGGCTAAAACTCAATGTTACGAGTTCGAAGGTTTTGACAATAATTATTCACTGACTATCAGCACGCAGGGATGTCGGATTAACTCAAGGAAGCTTACAGAGCTTCAACACACAGCATCCGCCAACACAAACTTGACTTGAACTTAAGTAGAACTAAACAGCCTCTGCCAATAATAACAAACCCTCACTTGAACTTCAGATATCTTACGGCTTCCGCCTACTTGTAAACACAGAACTTGAAAATCGAACTTCGTCACGCTTGACTAAACACAGCAGTCCAGCTCGTGGGAAAAAACTTCGTTCGTCAAAAGAACTCGCTTGGAACTTGTATACCGTTTAACATAAGGTTCTAGAAAATACTAAAAAGGCGAATAGTAGTAGCTTTTCGACATATTTTATGATTTCAGTAACTGATGCAAATCTGCTGACTCATGCTGAAATTTAAACATGTCCTACTTAATTTTTCATGAATAATCCAAAAACGTAGAGAACGTTCGAGAAAGTCACGCAACGCACGAAAGCAATTTTACCACGTAACACTCAACAAAGACAAAATGTCTTTGTGTAGCATTTTGTAACTTTAAATTCATCATAAAACAGTTCGAAAGGAGGTCTCACTCGTGAAATGTTCTTCAACACTCGAGGAGAAATTTCGTTTCTCTACGCGGCCACGTAATATCCTCTATTTATTCCTCGAGTAAATTAAAGACTAAACTCGAAGTGAACTCAAGAAATCACGAAGTAGTCCGGTCTCATTTCGTGAAATAGCCGAAACAAGCAGAAAAGTCACGAACTTGCACGCCCAATCTTGTCCCGATACTGGTGCATCATTTCATAACTATTTTTCATAGCTCGAACTAGCCTGGGTCGCAGTAGCGCAATCGGCTAATCCTCAGCTTGGAGTCTCCTCTGATCTGAAGGTCACACAGGTGAGTCGGTTCAAACCCCGGGAAAGCCAAAATAATTATTCTTTCTTTCTTCCTCAAAAAAGTTAAAGAATAAATCAAAGAAATCGAAGTGATCTGGAGATATGTCGAACTAATTCGGCTCTCACCTCGTTAAATAGCCGAATAAAACCGAAAACCCACAAACTTTGCGTGCCCGATCTTGCCAAAAAATGGCAACTTTGATACATTCCTGAGCGTCGCGAATCCTTTACTTCGCGCTCCGCCGAAGTAACAAGCAATTGAACATTTGTATAAGCAATACTCCTTTTGCTTTAGGTTTCTGATCAATGATTGATAATCAGCACACCACTACCAAGTCATGTCTCAATTAGAGTACAAAAGGGCCCATCTGACGAGCAAAGTGTGTTTGACTTAAAAGATCTATTATCTCCAAATGAGATAGAAACTTTTACAGTGCACATGACTCAGATATGACTATCAAATTTTTGAACAACTGGAGTCTAGCCTTTAGTCAATTTGTACATTGACATGGCAAAGTGCAGCCCCAAGTAATATGTAAAACAAACCAAAGTCAGGGATTAAGAAAGTTTTTGCTCTAAAAATCAAATCTATTTCAAAGTGGAGAATACATTTTGGATTGCTATATTGCAAACAATGGAAACACTCTTCACCTTTTGCTATAGCTATTAGAGCGGGATTAATGCTTTTTTTTACATCTGATAGGCAACAAAAACAATAATAACAACATCTGAAATTCTCTATTAAGGCCCCCTCTCTCAAATAAGC